CGGCATGGAGCCATTTGTCTGTCTGTTCCCTGGCTCATTCATTCAGGAAATGCTTTCTGAGCACAGGAAGCCTGCCTGGTAGAAGAGTTCGGACAGGAACCTGGTGGTGACAAGCTGGAGGGCCGCTGTGTGTAATGGGGGGTGCACACCATCACGGGAGCTGGAACATTGGGGTAGGGGTGCTGTTCCAGCCTCTGCCTGGGCAGCTTAGCTGAGTAAGTAAAGCCAGGCTATTTCTACTGCAGAAGCCTCATAGGCACAAGGATGAAGCTGGGCTCCAAGAGCCCACCTGGCACCGGCCAGCCCTCTCTCAGATGCAAGGACACGGGGAAGAGGAAGAAGGCTGGGCCAGCTGGGACTGAGGCCACCTACAGTTCAGCTCTTGTCCAGTGAGAGTCCCTGGAGGATAAGGGTCTTGTGGCACCAAAGCCTCAGCTAGCCACACGCTTGCAGGAGAGGCGCCCCCTGGGAAGACCAGACGTGACAGGAGCAAAGCCTCGTCCAGAAGCAGCTGGACCGCATGCATTACACACACTTTCCCCACCGGGTGTGTGCCTGAGGGGCCCAGGCGGTGGGGCAGGTGCACACAGGTTAGGACTGGGCTCATCATCCCAGGGAATGTGCACGTGCATGGAGGCGGGAAGGCCCGGCCACTCGCATAACCCTGGTAGCATGAGAGGCTGAGATGACCACTTCCCCTGAATGAGAAATCTTCAGGTTAACAAAAAGCGACTGGCCCCAAGGGTGGGGGATGCTGGGTGAGAGAGAGGAGCCGGGGCACAGGCGTTCTGCCCTGTTCTTGACTTCAACCAATTCGCTTAATCCTCTCCACCTGCCACTCAGCTCGGAGATACAGGGGCGGAGGGTGAGGGAACACCATGTCCGAGGCACACTGCAGAGCGGTGGGGAGGACCAGGTGCCCCGGCTTGGAGGCGGCGTCCTCATGTGAAGAGCTCCCGTGCGCGGCTCAGGGCCCAACAGCTGAGCCGGCCCGCGGAGAAGTACACGGGCAGGTTCTCCCAGAACGGCTGAGAAGCTGGAACACGGTGCTCTGCTCTGTCTGGAAAGCCAGGAAGCACCTGTCAGGTCAGGGGACGGGGCACCACGCCCAGTCACTGTGTGAAGAGTTCGCTGTGCAGCTACTGAGGCCAGCACTGTGTGAGATGGGGACAGACACCCTGCACCCTGCTGCGTCCCTAGAGCCTCCCGCACCCACCCCGGCAGCTACCGCCCAATCCGCCTGGAGGCTGGCTCTGTTCCCAGACGTCGGACTGCTGCCTCCCGCGCCGGCACCCCACAACCAGCCGGTCCCCACCCCGTTCGGCATGTGATTACGTGTTGGAGAGTCACCTGGTCTCCCCCGGCACAAAGGAAGCCACCTGAACCCCCACTCACGACCTGGGGGCCTTTGTGGGCCTCAGCTCAGTTACAGAGAGCTGTTCGTCTCAGGTGGGCCTGTGACCCCCAGAGGCCTGCAATCTGGCCCGGGAGACACCTGCTAGTACCCTTCACACACCTCCCCACACAAAACAGCACATTAAAAATAAAAATTTTGCTTCTTACTCAAATCATATGGCTGCAAAGGCCAAATGTCTTCCCCATGAATCCCACAGTTTCGCTACAAACCGTCTCGGGGGAAAACTGGTCTTCGGGAGGATTCACAACCTAGCAGAAGCACTCTGCCCTCAAGGAACGCCCTCGAGTCGTGGCTGCAGACCACCGGCCAGCCCACCCCGTCACACCTTCCTGGTCCGGGCCAGAGTGGACGTTTTCCTAGGATGTGGCTCGGCCACAACCGTGACCCTGGCCCAAAGGAAGAGCCTGGAACCTGCCTAGAACGAAAGTGTTCCACTCCCTGCTGCGTTTCCGGGGCCCAAATGAGGTGCCACGCACAGCCAGCAGACTCCAGAACATTCGCTGTGTGAGCAAGCGTGAAGTGAGAGTTCTGCAGGCGACCCCGGGTCTCTGAAGGGGGCTGGGCAGTGAGAGAGCAGAACTGTGAGGCAAGTCTGCACCAGCCACGGCCTTCTCCACCCGCCACACAAACGGGAGGCTTCCACAAGTTGTCAGTGCTTACCATCTTTCCAATTACAATCGCCCCCATAGGTGTTTCTGGAAGCACAAGTGTTGTCCCAGAGACAAGCTCTTCCATGAGCTGGTTAAAAGGACTCACAAAACCACTATTTTGTTTCCTACTTCAGTTGTAGACTTCTGAGACTTACTAATCCACCCCTCCTACCGCGATGTCGTAAAACCTCACTCAGACAATTCTATCACCGGTCCAATGGCCAAAGGAGGCCGTTTCTAGAGAAGAAGGTCCACAACTGAGGACCTCAGACTGTCTCAACTAGGTGAGCTGCGAGGGTTCCATCAAGTTGACCAGGTGCATGCAGATGAGTCTGCTTCCTGGCAGAGGGAAGCGCTGATGTGTCAGGCTTGGAGGGTCCCAAGCACACCGGGATGCGAGAAGGGGATGAAGGGAAAGAGCACTGTGCGGTCTGGGAAGGAGCCCCGGTGTGACAGGGAAGGGCTCTTGGGCTGGCAGCCAGCTGCGGAGACCCAGGCCAGCCACCTGGGCTGGGCCTGCTCAAAAGCCCACAGTCTTTGCTCCTGCCTCCAGCGTGTGGAAGAATGGCCTGAGCACTCCAGATGTTTTAATGTTCACTTTGGAGACTAACATCTGACTTGTTAGAAATTAAGCCATTTTAACCTGTGATGATCTGTTTTTAAAACTCATAGGTAGAAGTCAGGACTCAGCAGGGTGCAGAACGGCAGGGAGGCGCCCCCACAGTGTTCTCCTATAAAGGAAGCCTCTGAGATGAGAACGCTATTTACTGCTCTCCACATTCTGCCTATTGGGAAATTAGTTTCCTTTCCTTATTTCAAGCAAGTTCTTGTTAACTATAATGGACACTCGACTTCTCATTTCAAAGGGTGAATCCACATCCATTTTAAATGTAAAAAAGAAAAAATAAATAATCATGGCCTAAACCAATCCAAGTAACATAAGAAATGTATCAAAAACCTTCACTTTTACCTGAAACCATAAGCTCCTAGAAGAAAACATAGGTAAAGAGCTTCTCAATATGGGTCTTGGTGATAAATTTTTGGACAGGAAACCTAAAGCACAGGGAACAAAAGTGAAAATCCACAAGGGGACACATCAAACCCAAAGGCTTCTGCACAAGAGAGAAACCCACAGGAGGAGGAAGCCTGGGGACCAGGAAATGGTGCCTCCGAGTCACGCATCTGAAAGGGGTTCATGCCCAGAATGGATGGAGAACGTACACAGCTCCACAGCAAAACACCAAGCTAATTAAAAGACGGGCAGAGGATCTTAACAGGAATTCTTCCACAGATGACACACAGATGGCCAACAGACACGCAGAGGGCCGGTAACTCATCATCAGGGAAATGCAAATCCAAACCACGGCCGGAGACCACCTCACAGCCCTTAGAATGGCAACCATCAAAAAGGCAAAAAATAGCAAGTGTTGGCCAAGATGCGAGAAAGGGGACCCTCTCACACTGCGGCTGGGAAGGCAAAGTGCAGCAGCCACCCTGGAGAGCAGCACGGAGAGTCCTCAGAAAGTTACAAATGCAGCTACTCTATGACCCAGTGACTGCACTTTGGAATGTGCCTTCAGAGGAAACGAAATCTGGAGCTCAAAGAGGTGTCTGCACCCCCACATTCACTGCAGCACTACTTACAAGAGCGAAGACGCAGACCAGCCTAAGGGTGCACCCAGGGCAGAGGAGCACATGAAGAGCTGCAGTGTGTTCACGTGATGGTGCACTCAGCAACTAAGAAAGAAGGAAATCTTGCCATTCGCAACCACACAGGTGGACCTCGAGGGCCTTAAGCTACATGAAATCGGTCAAAGACAAACACTTATACGTGGCATCTAAAAACTCCTGCGTAGGTTGAGAGAACAGGTTAGTGGTCAGCAGAAGCCAGGAGGGTGGAGGGAAGAACTGGAGGAAAGTGGCCAAAAGTACAAACCTCCAGCTGTAGCCTCAGTGACTCCTGGGACCATAGCGTATGACGCCCTGTGCTCTGTTTGAAAGCCTCGCAGAAAGTCCTAAAGTTCTCACCACAAGGACACACGTGGAGTTAACTTATGGAGTGCAGGACCCCCGGCCCAACACCCCCTGGACCCCAGAGCCCTGTCTACCTCCCACCCGGAGCCCAGGACCCCGGGCCATGCCCCCAGACCCCAGAGCCCTGTCCACCTCCCACACGGAGCTCCAGGAGGCCCACCTCCTGCCACACCTGGACCCCCAGCACATCCCCACAGACCCCAGAGCCCCGCCCACCTCCCAATTGGATCCCAGAGCCCACCTCCCTTCCTGACTCTGCACCCTGGCCCACCTCCCTCCGGTACCCCAGACCCAGAAGAGTGTTGGCGCTGGGGACCCTGAGGGACCACCTGGGTGGGCTGGCAGGACCCCAGGGACCCAGGTATCTCTGGAATCTGCATCCCAGCCCCGGTGTTCAGGAGCCCTAGACAGAGGAGACAAGACCTGTGGGACCTCAAAGGAGCAGGGAACACCTTTCCATGAGGGAATATGGGATTTGTGGGGCGGGGGGTCCCCAAACCTTCGCAGGGACTTGCAACTTGTACTTCCAGGTGGGAAGTGGACAGGGCTCTGGGGTTGTGGGGGGATGGGCCGGGTCCCAGGTTCCGGGGGTAAGGTGGACAGGGCTCTGGGGTCCGGGAGGGAGGTGGACGGGGCTCTGGGCTCCGGGGGGGGGGGGGACAGGGCTCTGGGATGGGGGGGGGGGGGGGACGGGGGGCTGGGGGAGAGGTGGACGGGGTTCTGGGCTCCGGGGGGGAGGTGGACGGGGCTCTGGGCTCCGGGGGGGAGGTGGACGGGGCTCTGGGGTACCGGGGAGGTAGGTCGGGGGTCCGGGGACTGGGTCCTAGAGCAGAATCTGGGCGCGGCTCGCTCCGCACCTGCGCCGCCCGGCTTTGCCCCCAGACCCCCACCCGGCGTACCGTGCTGCCGCGGCGTGGCCATGGCGGTCCCGGGACCCCAGTTTCACCCCCGCGCCTGCAGCTTCAGGGCCAGAGCCGCGCGGCCACGCTTCCGGGTTCCGGCCCTCTATGCCCGCCCACAACGACGGCCGCGCCCAGCCGGGACGTGGGTTCTTTCCCGCTGGATGCCAATCAGCCGCGCTCCGGATGTGGATTGGCTTGTACGGGGGCTGTGGGCGTGGCCGTGGGCGGTGGGGCAGGGGGTGCTTGGAGCATGCTCAGAGCGAAGTGACTGAATCCTGGGTTAGCCCAGTTCTTGGTTTTGGTGCCTTAGGAGAAAGTCAGGAGATGCAGGAACTCCAGTCTCATAGGAGCCCTATTAAACCATATCTCCTCATTACCATTTCATCATCAATATTCAAATGAAGAAAGGGAAGCATTTATTTTTTTCCCAGTTTTATTGACACATAATTGAAATGCAACACTGTAAGTTTAGGGAGTAGTCAGCAGAGGGGGTCAGCGGGAGGGGTTAAAGGGAGGGGGTAGTGGGCGGAGCCATACGGGGGGGTCAGAGGGAGGGGTTAAAGGGAAAGGGAGTCATAGAGACTGGGTCAGCAGCAGGGTTTCAGCAGCAGGGGGCACAGGGAGAGGAGGCACAGCAGGAGGGCACAGCCCAGAGGTGGCTTGGTGACCGCCCATGGTGTCACCTAGGGTTCCGGGGCCCCACATCAGGGGCCCCACATCAGGTGCCCTGGTGCTGCAGGGGTGGAGTAGTGCAGGGGCCTGCTTAGTGCCCACCCTGCACCGGGTGTCCTAAGGGACCCCAGAACTCGGGTGTGAAGGCCAAGGGGAAGAAGAGAGGCTGCCCACCGCCATGGCGAAGACCCCCGCCTTCCCCAGACCTCTTCCCAGCCGGTCCACGTCCCCCGGTGGGGGTTCTTCCCTGTGCGCCCCATCCAACCCCAGGGCACCTTCTCCGGGACCTTGACTTCTTGTTTGCTCCTTTCTTGAATTTACTTCTTGGAAAATATATTTTCCCAGAGCCCAGAGACTGTCCATGTCAGGCACTGTTCAGGGTGCTGTGGACAGGTCGTGAACAGTCAGATGACGGGGGCGGGGTCAAATAGGGGGACACACAGCAGGTCATGGGACACGAGCGTGGGGAGGCAGGTGGTCAGGAAGTTTCCGCAGGAATGTCCTGAGGCCAGGCTAGCAGCAAATGGAGCAAGGCTTGGGGATAACGGGGCAGGGAGCACTCAGCAGCGGGGAGGCAGTGTGCCCTGAGGCTCCTGGGGGACGGTATCTGCAGCAGGACCAGGGAGGGCAGACGCACAGATGCCGTCAGGCTGGAAACAGGCCTCCGTGTTGGGGCACGGGCCCAAAGGGGGTTAAGCGATGGAAGGTCACCAGCCTGCGGGAGCAGAGGAGCGAGCCTCTCTGACCTCCATCTTAGAGAAGTCCCTTGAAGAAGTGGGGAGACTGGGTGAATCCGTGGCTCCTAGAGAGACCTTGGCGGCCAGTGTCAGGACGGTGGCTTCCCAGGTGGTAGGAAGCAGCCCTCGGATTTCGGATGTATTTGACGACAAAGCAGAAGAAGTTTTCATGTTGACTCACGTGGGCTCTGAAGAAGAGAAGTGTGGCCTGTGTCCACGTGTTCTGGAAACCAGGGGATGGAGTTACATGGAGACGGAAAGCCCTGAGAGGATCACCTCTGGGGGTGGCATGTGGCACCCACCCCGTGAAGGCTGAGGGACCTGCTGGACCCGGAAATGTAGGCGCCCATTCAACAGTGGACTGGGACTTAGAGTCCAGGGGACCATGAGTCCGATAACCACTCACTTGTCCGCACCCACAGACTGTCCTGCAATGAGAGTGAGCCCAGATGAGATTCATGCTGGACTCCGGGTGATGATGGGTCACTGTGGGTTCAGTGTTGCAGCAGAGGTATGATCGGTGGGGACGTGGACGATGGCGGCCGAGTGTGGGGGAGAGGCAGGCGGTGTATGTGACGTCTCCACACCTTCCCCTCAGTTCGGCCGTGAACCTGAAACCATTCTAGGAAGTTATGTAAAACATGTTAGTGCAAGAGGAGGGACTACTCGCTGGACTAATGTCCTCAATGAGGCTGTGTCTTGACCCTGTCCTTCCCTTCCGCCTCACCCCCCGAGCGTCCAAGCCCACTCTGAACTTGGCGGCTTCACAACAAAATCTTCCCAGAAACCTCAGAGTTTCCTCCTGCCCAAAGTCCTTACTCTTGATCAGACCAGAACTTGAAAGAATTGATGGCAAAGTCAGCCTCTACCTTGTCATCTGCAGCGTGTCTCCCACCCCGACCTCCGTGTACCTGCTCCTATGTCACAGGACCTCATGTCCCCAGGTCCAGGGCAGGCTGACCAGTGTGCACCTGCCACCCGCTGTCTGCCCAGAAGGGCCACCTGCCCAGGTGCAGAGCCTGGCGAGCGATCCCTGTGCCTCCTGTTCACCCCCCCGCCCCGCCCCTTGTAGCCTGCTCAGAAAAACCAGAGTTCTCCCTGCTGCATTCCTGGCCCCCGCTGCCTTCCTCGTCTCTCACTAGAATTCCTCCAGGAATTTTTAAAAAGATTTTATTTATTTATTTGACACAGAAAGAGCAGGAGCAGGGCAGAGGGAGAAGACTCCCTGCTGAGCAGGGAAACCCAACACCCAGGAGCCCGATGTGGGGCTCCATCCCAGGACCCCAGGGTCATGACCTGAGCCACAGGCAGACTTGTCGCCGACTGAGCCCCCCAGACGCCCCTCCTCCAGGCATGTTACTGAGCTCCCCACGTCCACTCGTGCTTCCTCACTCCCACCCCTTCCAGACTTCTCCTCGTTGTGGCCAAAATGTCTTTTAGAAATCTCAGTGCCATTCAGAATCAGTGAAGTTAATCTGTCACTTTCAAGCTAAAGTGCAAAGTTGCAGGGACATATCAGTAGATGCAGAAGAGACGTTCGACGAAACCCAACACGTGCTCATGACAGAAACTGTCATCAGACTAGGAACAGAGGGGACTTCAGCTTGATAAAGGGGACCTACAAAAACCCTCTAGCTACCATCATGTTGACCCCGCATGTCATGCTGTCCCTCCCACCACTCTTTCCCACGTGGCCGTGCGAGTCCTGGCTCAAGTAACAAGGAAATTAAAGGTGTACAGATTGGGAAGGGAGACATGAAACGGTCCACAAATGTCATGATTGTCCCTGTTGGACACCTGCCTCCCTGCTCAGAACCCCACATCAGATTTTACTGAACACGAGGTACAACTCGGAGTCCTCCCGACGTCATGTAACCCCAGACTGTTCTGCAGACACTTTCGTGCTGTCCCTTGCTCACTTTGTTCTGCTTAGTCGGACCCTCCCGAGCATGGAGGGTGGGCGTCCCACCTGCCCTTCCTCCCCCCCTCCCCCCCTCCCCACCTGCATCCTCGTGCCGGCTCTCCCTTGTCCTACATCCCCTTCCCCACATCGCTCCTGTCTTGTCCGAATCCCAGCGCTTCTCCAGGGCTCTGGCAGAAGGTGCCTGCAGGGTTCCCTGTGGTTCCTTGTACGACCCCCTTGCACTCACCTGCTGCCCCCCAAAACAGTCTGGCTGGCCTTTCTAGAAGGTACAGGAGCTGCTCAGCCAGAAAACCTGCAGCGGGGAGTGGGGAAACATCCGTCAGTCTGGGGGGAGGAAGTCCGATGAGCACATGTCCAGCCCTCCAAACCTCGGCCAAGCCATTCTGAGGTGCAGTCTACATGGGTCCTTCAGGGACCCGAGCCAGACCGAGCACCCTTTGTTTACAGGGCGACCAGCGTGGTAGGGCATCTGATCAACTCTCCCTCCCTCCCTGTCCGAGTCCTCTGGCTTCCTGGACTGACCTCCTGATGAAACCACCTGCCCCCAGCTCCATGGCGCACGGAGTATTTTCACCAGCGACTCCCTCTGCAGACGGAAAGCTCCCTGGTCCGGGGGCTGTTTCTCTGTTTGGCTCATGTGTTGAGAGACGTGACAGACACTCAGCACACTTTTGTTGTTTTTTATTGTGGCTGTGGTGTGAGTGAGTGAACCAGTGGACCTCAAAAAGATGGACAGGTGAGGACAGATATGGAGAGGAGGGAAGTGAGCTTTTAAATTGAAAAATGGACTAGAGGGGCACCTGGGTGGCTCAGTGGGTTAAGCTGCTGCCTTCAGCTCAGGTCATGATCTTAGTGTCCTGGGATTGAGCCCAGGGCTCTCTGCTCAGCGGGGAGCCTGCTTCCCCTTCTCTCTCTGCCTGACTCTCTGCCTACTTGTGATCTCTCTCTCTGTCAAATAAATAAATAAAATCTGCAAAGAAAAAATGGACTAGAATCTGGATTTCTGGTTGAAGTCTGGCACACCCGATCCCTCGTGTCTGACCACAGAGACAAATCGGAAGGTGCTAGAAACACCACAGAGAATGCAATCGTGGACAGGTTTCTGTGCTTCACCTTGTACCCACTCCCCTCAGCATTTAGAACTTTGTTGTCAAATAAAATGCAGTTGATGAGCGAGAGTGGTCAGTTCTGTGAAGAACTCTCAGGGAAACTTTTGTCCAAAGACCTTGGAATTACTGAGGGCACCCGGATGGCTCAGGGGGTTAAGCAGCTGCCTTAGGCTGAGGTCATGATCCTGAGTCCTGGGTTCCAGCCCTGCATTAGCCTCTCTGCTCAGCGGGGAGTCTGCCTCTCCCTCTGCCTCTGTAGTCCCCCTGTCCATGTGTGCTCTCGCTCTCTCTCGTCTAAATTAAATAAATAAAATCTTAAAAAACAATTAAGGGCTTATAATTTCTGAAAAAGTCCGTCTTGTCCATTCCAAATACTTTTGATCACCGGATTCCTATTCTAATCCCTCTCACTTCGCTGTAAACAAACCTTCGTCCTGCGGCCTCACTTTTGCCAGCAGCTTCCTGGGCATTTATCCCCCTTGGACTCCCCAGAACCCAGGTGGAGACTTGGGAGAGTCTGGTGTTGCGGGGAATTACAGGGGGGCTCCCCGCCCTGCCCCGGGCCGGGATCGCGAGGGGACAGCGGAATGAGAGCACCCGGAGTCCGGTTCCGGTGGAGCAGGCGTCACTCTGGCGGTTAAC